GGCAGAGAGAGAGAGAGAGAGAGAGTGAGAGAGAGAGAGAGAGTCATTTCGTTCACTTAGCAATTAACAACCCTGTAATTGTATTACATTTTTCTTGTGAAAAGAGTAAATAAAACAAAAATCAAAATATATAAACGAACGATAGTGCATATACATATAAAGTAAATAAATATTTTTTTACTATACATAAAATAATAGGGAATTAAAACATTTTTTGAAAACTCGCAGAGCTCATCTGTAAACATCTTGATTTCTTTGAATGTGTCTAACGTTTAAATAAATAAAATAAATAAATTCTGGAAAGTGGGATCGCATTAAAATCGGATTATTACTTCTATTTAAAAAACTGAGGATAATTTCTGGCAAATAATTATGTTATTTTGTAAATGTTTTGTATATTTTGATGGTTCATACGTCGTTAAAAAGTTACGTTCGTTTTCTTTAAATTTGTCTTTTTGACGTTAAAATGCTTTTAGCTGTTTTTAAATTTTAGCCATTCAATCAGATATTCCGATAACGACTTTTCGAAAATCGGAAAAATTAAAATAAAGGAGTCAAAATTTTTCTTTATAGAAGACTGATAACTGATCAAAAACTGCTTCCTTAGAGGAGCTAAAACTAAATTTCATATTAGTTTCACGGGAAAAAATATGACCTAGTTTTTTTTTTTTTTTTTTTGCTGGGGCTTCCGACATCTAGGTCATTTCAGCCCCCACTAAGTCTATATTCTATACACGTTCATACAAATAAATACATTTATACACTTAAATACATCCATACAGTACGCTCATTCCGTTTGGTCGGTGGAGTACTTGATATTCCTCCACCGACCTACACTTAAACTAAACTAGATTGGGGTCGATGGGGTACTTTTATAAATATTCCGCCATCGACCCCGAACACACACTCACTCGCTTTTATCGTTCGAGGGGCGATGATGACGTTATATTCACCCTCACCCCTCGCCATTCACGCTAATAAATACATGCACTCAGACAAAACATATAGACACATAACACATAAGACATACTATATACAATAAAAAAACCCAATTTCCCCTAAAAAGCGGAACAGGGGACTCTGAACCTAGTTATGACCTAGTTAACTTTAAAAATATTTGGTTTTTAGACATTTTTTGGTTCTTGATGAACTTCGATAGCTTTTACTACATTTTTATAGCAATCAATATAAAAAAATGCTGTAAAATGATATATTAACGTGATTTGAGCAAGTAGAACGGGGAAACAAAAATATTGAAAAAAACGAAAATTTCAACGTGCAAAATATTTTGGCGAAACCAAGGCCAATTCACAAGAAGAGATACATATCCAGTATTTTGGATTTTAGAAACACCAAAAAAGTTTGGTCCAAATCCTAGATCCCACCAACCTGGTCCGTCCCTTATTAGATTTCTGGTGATTTCTGACTCTTAAACAAATCACAAAATAATAAAAGCAATATTTGTAAATAATTTTTTAAGAATGGTTGCCTTTAAGCTGGGAATAAACCTTTGCTTTATTGGAACAAAATTAAAATTAAAAATTAAAACTTTTTACGTTACTGAAGAGCAAAAGCGAATCGTCCGATCCGTCGGCTAGACATAGTTTACAAACAGTGTATGCAGTTCAGAGAAGAGAGAAGACAAAAAAAATATACAAAAAATAAACTAAAATACAAAGCATATAATATACATGAAATTTAAAATTCAAAAAATTCAATAAAAATAAGTATTAAAATAGAGGACTATACCCAAAATTTTAATCGGTTTATAACAATGAAAAATTACATTCTTGATTCAATTCGTATGTTTAGCTACAAACATGTATAGCATACCGAATTTGAGTCATTCAAGAACCGCATTAGTTCAATTCTTGGGATATTAAAACAAGGTATAAGAGCCGAATCTCACCCAAAATCGAGCAGTTTGCCAGAAAGTGAAAATCTAGATGGAACGAGAATTGCTTAGGGTGCATATACCAAAGTTACCCCTACTCCACACAGCTGAATTATCATGTAAAACCTCACATCTCAGCTTAAAAACCATCTTAATTCACGCAAGGAAAGACCGTCAAAATTAGGCTTTTGGAAATCGAACATGGATGAAGCTTCTAATTCCTTGTGAAGAGACAAGTGTGAGGATGTTGGAACCCGTAGTAATCAACCTTCCCGATGCTGAGAAGCAATCCTGAAGAGGAGAGCCGAAAAATGAATACCCAATTGTTTTCAAGGTAAATGAGAGATTAGATTGTATTTGTTAAATACAAATGTCCAATGAGCAAACCAATGGGAATTAGACTTAATTATTCCCAGTGTTGTGATTCTTGAAAACCTAATGTTCGACAAAAAGCATCACTTTTGTTATGAAGGATAAATGAGGCTTAAGTGTGTAAACAAACACTAAGTCTGTTGCTATTTCAAATAAAGGAGATAATTTGGATTACCAGAAGGCAACGTAAATAAGGTTCTATTACCTCAAACCTCTGATACCAAACCTGACAGCTGTAACACATCATGCGGAATAAACGTTTATATAATTTCAATCACAGTTAAACTTAATCCCATCTCAACGCTTTTACCAATAAAAATTTGTTTATGCTATGTTTTAAAGTGGGCATACCAATTAGAGGGACACGCTTAATCCTTAATCCAAAACAAGGGTGAATGATTTTTCAGTGTTTACTTTTTACGGATTTTAAAAAGTTTATTCAGTCTCATTTGAATTATGAAGAATTAAACTGTTTAGTTTTCATCTTTGTATTCTTAATTTCAATTTTTAAACTTAAAAGTGCCACTTAGTGCTGAGGATGTTGCGCGTGGTATGGCCCTTGTTGGTGGATGTTCCATCAGGTATGAGGATATTGCCATCCGAGTTAGTAGCAATTTACAATTTTTTTTAACTTTTTTAGACAAAGACTCAATTATGAGACGTATAATAAGAACGTATAATAATAAGAAATTAATAAGAATTGTATAATTCACAAAAGTGAATTTTGATTAATATATAAAAATCTATACAAATCAAATTATATTACAACCGGGTAGAATTTTTTTGAAGAATATAAAAGATGTCTGATATGTTTTTCATTTTCCTTAGCAATTTACAGTTTTTTTAAAACAAAGACTCAATTATTAAACGTTAAAAAAGTGAAATTTTGATCAATATATAAAAATCTATACAAATCACGTTATATTACAAGTGGGTAGAATTTTTTAAGAATACAAAATATGTCAGATATAGTCCTTAGTTTGTTTCCGTTTTCATTAGGAATGTACACTTTTTTACTTTTTTAGACAAAGACTCAATTATTAAACGTTAAAAAAGTGAAACTTTGATTCATATATAAAAGTCTATACAAATCACGTTATATTACAAGGGGGTAGAATTTTTTTAGAATACAAAATATGTGAGACATGGTCCTTGGATTTTTTCATTTTCCTTAGCAATTTACATTTTTTTTAAACATTTTTGAACAAAGACCTAATTATTAAACGTTACAAAAGTGAAATTTTGATTAATATATAATAATCTATACAAATCACGTTATAGTACAAGTGGGTAGAATTTTTTTTCAAAATACAAAAGATGTGAGATACGGTCTTTGAGTTTTCATTTTTCTTAACAATTTTTTTTTGTTTTACTTTTTTAGACAAAGTTTCAATTATTGAACGTTTCAAAAGTAAAACATTGATTACAATATAAAAATCTATACAAATCACGTTATATTATAAGTGGGTAGAATTTTCTTAGAATACAAAATATGTGAGATATGGTCCTTGGGTTTTTTCATTTTCCTTAGAAATTTACATTTTTTTTTTACTTTTTCCGGCAAAGACTCAGTTATTAAACGTTAAAAAAGTGAAACTTTGATTAATATACAATAATCTATAAAAATCACGTTGTATTACAAGTGGACAGAATATGTGTAGAAAAAAATATGTGAGATATGTTCCTTGCGTTTTTCATTTTCCTTAGCAATTTAGTTTTTTTTTTTTTACTTTTTCAGATAAAGTCTGAATTATTAAACGTTACAAAAGTAAAACTTCGATTAATATATTAAAATCTATACAAATCAAGTTATATTACAAGTGGGTAGAATTTTTTAAAAATTATACTAAATATGTGAGATATGTTCCTTGGGTTTTTCATTTTCCTTAGCAATTTAGTTTTTTTTTTTTACTTTTTCAGACAAAGTCTGAATTATTAAACGTTACAAGAGTAAAACTTCGATTAATATATTGAAATCTGTACAAATCAAGTTATACTACAAGTGCGTAGAATTTTTTTTTTTTTTTTTGGAATAGAAAATATGTGAGATATACTCCTTGGTTTTTTCATTTTCCATAGCAATTTACACTTTTTTACCTTTTTAGACAGACTCATTTATTAAACGTTAAAAAAGTGAAACTTTGATTAATATATAAAAATCCGTACAAATCATGTTACATTGGAAGTGGGTAGAATTTTTTTTTAAATTATACTAAATATGTGAGATATGTTCCTTGGGTTTTTCATTTTCCTTAGCAATTTACAATTTTTTAAAAACTTGTTTAAACAAAGACTCAATTATTAAACGTTAAAAAACGTGAAATTTTGATTAATATTTAAAAATCTATACAAATCAATTTATATTCCAAGTGGGTAGAATTTCTGACTTGTCAGTGTATAAATAAATAAATAAATGTTTAATAATCGTGCTGAAAATATTGGACAATAACAAAACGATTTTGTTTGACGAATAACGAGACACTGCATCCTTGTTGCATGAGATATTGATTTCTAACAAGAAAGTGTACGATTGTTTAATTAAATAGCAAGTTCATAACAATGTACGTTGGGATAAAATAAATGTAGGGAAAAAATCAGTATATAGACAAATAGTGAACTGGGTCTATACGAAAAAGTGTGGAATGCAGTGTTAATGGTGGGGAGGTAGCAAATGAGATATAAATGGGCGACGAGCGATTAAACACAGTAATCCACAGTCGGAATAGGGCAAAATTGGCGAATGTGAAAAATAGGACGATAGTAGGAAGCGCGTACTCTCTGATAAAGTCTGTTGCCGTTGGTAACTGAATTGCATCATCATCGGAGTGAGCCTGTGTTGGAGGGGATCGCCCCTATTCAGTAGCCTGAAGTCTCACAACCTTTACAGATGTCAACCAAGTCGCTTTGGGTCTTCGGCTACGGTTCCCTTCTTTGGGCGCCGGGCTTCGCCTTCACCGACCTCCTCCCTGGCAAAGTACGAGGCTATTCGAGGAAGTTCTGGCAGGGCAACACGACCCACAGGGGCACTCCTGAACAGGTAACACCTTTTTTTTCGTCCTCGTGGCTTCCATCCCAGGTGAACTCTCGTCATTAGAAACTTTTCCCTATTTAAAAAATCAAACTACCTTATCTACACACGATCTACTATCTATTTCCTCCATGATTTCATTTATAAACATTCTTATTATTAACTCTAAAAGATATAGAATTTTTTTTACATCCGATCTCTTCCTGTTTCAGTGCCCCAGATTCCTTTCTAATATTAAATCTATTGTTATTAACCTACTTATAACAGAGACCAATTTTTCTACTACTTATAATTATAGTACTATACTTACTAATTATAATTTATAGTAAAATCATAGCGAAAATATCAATCGGTTTCAGCAACAGAATATCATCATAGTCGGCATTTATATTTTATATTACCAAAGAATGTATTGCCTGACATATTTTTACAATCTATTTTTTATCCATATTGATTTGCTAATATCACCATTAAAACAAAAAAATGAATAATAGATAAAAAGAAAAATTAAGGATAACACGAACAAGGATAAACAGACTCATAATTTAGATATATTTAGAGGATTTTAAATTGTCATGTTAAATTGCCACTTGTGTATGTGCACGTCGTGTTTTTACTTGTGGGCGTTTATTCGTTTTGTGTGTATTTATTTTTGTTATTGTTTATTTTTGTCTTCCTGTTCGTTCTTATTGGGTTCATTCATTTTTTACTGTGCTCTACTGCTACTACTTTCCTGTTTTATACTGTTGTTTGACTATTGTATTTATTGGGTGTGAGTTTACTGTTTTATATTACTGAGTGTTTGTTTATTATCTACTTGTGTGTGTTAGTTTTCTTCTTTATGTGTGTGTGTGTGTGTGTGTGTTTTTATTTGTTTGGTTCTAGTTCTTGTTCATTCTTATTGTGTTAATTCATTTTCAATAATAATTCATTACAAATACGAAACTTATGAAAAAACACACAAGTATAAAACATATAACTCATAAACAAAGAAACATGCACAGAAGTATGATAGATAACAAGCAATCACGCCATCATACAAATAGAAAATAAACACAAGTACAAAAGAAATGAAAACACACAAGTAGAAAGCCAATAAATATGTACAGAATTACAAAAGAAATAACAACAGAAATAGGTATAAAAGAAGTAAACTACACACAAATTAAAAACAAATACACACAATTATAGTGGGCCAGTGAAACCACCTACAAGTAGGATATAAAACAAGTAAACACACTCAGGAAGAAAAAATTAAAGATACTCAAACACACAGCAGTAAAGAAGAAAAAGAAAGCAAATAAAATATCAAATACCTAGTCAAAAAATTAACAAAAAAGTACAAAACAAATGTAAAAGCCCACATAAATAAAAAGTAAATAAGCATACACAAATACTCTATTAAAGAAATAAACTCATTCAGTTTTTGTTCCTTTAGTCTAGATTTTTTCACTTCCCCTGTAGGTTCCTAAGGCCCAGGCTCATGAAGTGTTTTCTAACGCCCGTTGACGAACGAAAGTGAAATACGAAAGTTCAAAGTAGACCGGCACGTGGTGTCGCGCGCTTACGCCCCACGCGAGGAAGACCTTTAGGTCTTAAGGAGAAAGAGAAAAAAACTAGAAAGGAAGAGAGAAGATGAGTAGAGAAACACAGAGGAATAGAGATATATAGGTAGAAAAATTTTAAAAGAAAGACAGTTAGACAGACAGGTAGAGAGAGAGAGAGAGAGAGAGAGAGAGAGAGAGAGAGAGAGAGAGNGTGAGAGTGAGAGTGAGAGTGAGAGAGAGTCCGAGAGAGAGAGAGAGAGAGAGAGAGAGAGAGAGAGACAGACAGACAGACAGAGAGAGACGAAGGGAGGAGGAAAGAGAGAGAGAAAGGACGAAAAGAATCAAACACACACACACACACACACACACGTACGTACGTAGAAAATAAATAAGCAAATAAACGTCAGGCATAAAATTAACAATCGCGCGGGCGCAACGCACTTTTAATTTTTTTTTGTTACCGTTCATTTTGTTCTGCTTATCCTCGCCGTGCTAGACCGTGAGGCGCGTTTCGGCATTTCACCATCAACTGGGTGTTTGCCTGTCTATTAATATGTTAGAACAGCAGCTACTCTGTTGTCTACATTAAATTGTTGTTTACTAGAGTGGAGAAATAACCAATTAATTACACTCCTATCATAAAACTATTCATTTTAATCGCAAGGGAGGAAACCACAAGGCCATTTACGCTTTAGACGTTCTGTTTCGAGAATGGGATGCATTGTGTTTGACCTTTTGCGGTTCCAGTACAAATATGAGTTGAAGGTCTGTGTGAATAGTTCGGTTGGATACGACTGGAGCTTGGGCAATTGTTCGAAGGACTGGAGTGACTTGATACTTGGAGGGGTGATTGCGAAGAGTGAAGCTTGCAGGGATAGGAGAGAAGGTCCTGGCGGTTTCTGAAGACTACCGGATCTGGGTTTGCATACAAATACAATTCAAATTAAAATATATTCAAGTAGCAAATAAGTAAAGACACGCAAATACATACAAGAACCGACGAGAAATGCGTCAATACCGTTCAAACACGGCCCTCTCAATAAGAAGGAATGCAATATTTATGAGCGTCTCGCATTTCTAACTATCTAAACTTGAAGGAAATGCTTTCAACCTCTAAGGCCTTCGATCATAGCAAATATCTTCATACTTTCAAGCAATTTACCACATTTTTTCATCAATATTTAAACAAAGAGGTGAAACTGAAATAAAGTTAAATAAAATCAGGTGGGGATAACCTTATAATAAAATGTTTCAAGGTTATTTTTATAAACTAATTATAATTATATTTGTACTGAAAAAATAATAAAGAAAATAATCATTCTCGGCATATCGATCAGATCATTAAGAGTGTTTACTACTAATGACCTCCTTATTGAACTTGACCTAGGAAAGGACTTTCAAATAGTCATGAAATTTCACTTAGAATAGGACTTATATAAATAGAAACTTTACTCGTTTGAAATGTTGGGTCGTTGCCCTGTAATCGAATTTTCATTACCTACATCGAAATTGGTGCTAAAAAATAGGACGTTTTTAAGTTGAAAAAAGGCTTTGTTATGTGAAATTTTTAATTTTTTTATATGTTTATATTTTAACGATATCATTATATTTATTTCTTTTTGAAGAGCGCAATGGGGACGACGGTCGCCGCAACGGTTTAGTGTTGACCCGGCGCTCATCATTGTAAAGTAAAGGTCCCGGGTTCGAATCCAGCGGCTTTGTATTCGAACCCGAAATCCTTACAAATGGGCTTTTTTCCAAAACACCTGCTCCAAAGAGAGAGAGAGAGAGAGAGAGAGAGAGAGAGAGAGAGAGAGAGATCTGAGTTGTGTAGGTCTAGTGACCTACTCTCATTTAAAATATTTCCCCATTTTTTAATAATCTATGATATTATTATATCAAAACCATAATAAATTAAGAAAAATTGTGCTTTTATAAAAAACAAATTATAAATATTTTGTCAGGCTATAATTAGGAACTATCAATTAACCCATAACACTTCCGATTGTCGAAATTCCACTTGGTGAATAGCAAGATCCGTGGAACGTCGAACGATTCAGGTGAAGGGCGCTGAATACATAACCACCAGTAATTATTTATCAGGCAAAAACTCTCAACTTAATTTAGAAAATTATAGACAAGCGTGTCCGGGTCTGATTTGAAAAATTCCCAATTGATCATGATCTCCGTTTTGAGATTGGGCGAAAGAAAAAAAAAATGTGAACGGCGAAAAAACGCGGACCAGGATGATTCAACCATGACGCCCATCAGTGGACAATTTTGAATCAGATTCCGCAATGTTTACCGTTACGTGACTACCGCGAGAGAAACATACGGACGTGCACTGGTAAAAGAACTATCTGGCTAAAACATAGAAGGCGAGACATGACGTACAATGTGGCTCACAATTTTATACAAAATTTTTTTTAAGTCATATAAAATCTTCAGAAAGCAGACAAAATTTTTAATTCATTTATGACATTCAGGAAGTCAGAAATTGAATACTTATGGTCGACGATAGCGAGAGAAATATGCCGGCACCCAATGAAAACAAAGGAATTGATCAAAATACAGATCGTTCCGTCCCATTGCAGTCAAATGATTCCTTTGAAAAAATACTATATAAAAAGAAAGAACGCAACTGCGGGGAAAACATGCGGACATTTAATTAAAACAGCTAATTGTAAATGACACCCAGACCAACAATAGACCAAAACGACCAGATTTTATCTACCTCTGGAATAAAATATAATAAAATCTTTTCGAAAAACAAACAGGTTAGAATTATTTTAGAACCTATTTAAAAATGAGAAAATTAGTATCTAGAAGAAACATAAAACTTAGCACAATTAATGGTAGGTAGAAGCTCATGTTAATACAAAGAGATGCGAGGGAAACAGGCGGACACCCACCGGTCATAGTGAAACGTCAAAAAGCCCCTAGACAAAACACTCAAATAAAAAAAGGACTTTAGTTTTGTTTTCCAGCACCGAATTCTACAAAATTGTTGTCTTTATTAACAGGGGTACTCGATCTTAGAAGGATTTCGATCTTTCCAAGCACAGTAGTGAATTTTATGTGAGGATTTTTGAATAATAAACTGTGCACTTTTATTTATTTATTTTTGGCCTCAATCTCTGTAATGAACGTGTACGGTTTATTCGCCGAGAAAAAAGAATTTTCTATCTTTTAAAGTCAATGAGATGTCCGTAATTGTTATGGTTTTCGACATGTGATCTGGGACGTCCTGGCATAGGTAATTTCGTTTTTATGATTTCATTGTAAATAGAACAAAAAAAGTTTCTTGGCTGGCCAAAACCCTGAATAGTAGAAAATGAAAATTAAGAAAAATCCAATAGAAAGTAGAAAAATACCTGGCTGATCTGTCAGAACGAATGAAAATTTTAGTAAACAGGAGGAATATACAATCAGAAAAGGACGAAGGCCAAGAAGATAGATTTGAAATTGCACCTTTCAAACAAGACCTGACAGACCATAGAAATTTTGCATAAAAGTTAGTATAAATTTTGTAAAATTTTACATGTTATATTTTTAATTCAACTAAGAAGACTTTTGTCTGAAAAGAACAAAGAACGGAACAAGATGGATGAAGGAAAGATCAAAGGAAAAATGCCAAAGATAATCTGGCAAATTTGTTTTTTTCACATATATTTGTCATTAACAAAACAAAGAAAATCATACATAAATCACCAACAAGAGCTCAAAATAATTTCTAATAACTTATGACTTCTGAGTAATGAGTAACCTTACTTAGCACGTCAGCACATTTAGCATCTCGAAAGATATGTTTGTTCTTAAAACTTCCTTTGTTAAGGGGGTTTATATTCTAACAAAAATTATCTGATATTAAAAAATTATTGTAGTTGATGCAGGGTAACTGAAAGAATTTAAATCAAACCTTTCTATGTATGCTCATTTTAAAATATAATTTGTTTGAGATTAAATGTTAAGAAATCATCTACAACTTCGAGGGGAAGTTACAAAAGAAATTTTATCCGTCTTTAAGTTAAATATTGTGTTTTCTCAATATTCTCAATTGTGTTTTGTTAATTGTCCCATGCAGGTTTTGCCAAATCTAATAACAATAATAATGTTTCTGTTGTGTTTTTTTCCAGCCTGGAAGAGTCGCCACTTTGGTCGAAGACGAGAACGTGAGTGTTTTTCGTATTAGTCATTCCAGGTTGTTTGTAAAAATATTTTTGTTATTTTAAGGGCACAATAATTACCCAACTGTGTCGAAAATGATGGGTAAATGCGGTTTTATATATTTTCAACTTTCCGGCTTAACCCGGCTCATTAATGCCTTGAAACTTTTGTATTTTATTGGTAGAACCTTACATTTCTCAAATAAAGTTGGAAATGTTCTGTTTCTGTTTTATGATTGAATTCACACTTTTTTTAGTTTAATCAATTTTTAAAGCTCAAACTTCAATTAAGCTTTAATGAACCAGAATAAAAATTTTCCGGGACGAAATAGCGTGTTTGGTAGAGAGAATATAGCAGAAATGTATGGAAGTCAGTGTCTTGCTTCTCCCTGCTTATAACCTGCAGATTTTTTTCTTGTACGTCAAATAACACGCTCTATTAACTATAATGATGAAGAATTAAGAGGATTTGTCATTATAGCGAAGGTATGTTACATTTCTAATAAATTCGGTGATAAGATTCAGTCTAGCAAAAATTACAGTCCAGTTTTTCGAGAATTGGCATAAAAATTTATGACTTTTTAATTTTAAAAAGGTTTTGGACTGGAATAAACGTATGCACGTAGTCATAAACGATAAGTAACCGACGTAAGTTTAAAGGAAAGATGAGCCTGTAGCTTGCCTCTCCCTGCTTATATCCTGACTCGCAATCTTCTTCTTGTACGTCAGATGATGGGTTCTTTTAAAATAAAAAGAACGTACGATAAACCAAAGGAGTGTTATAATGTTAACACTTATAAATACTAACACTTAAAACTAATAAATGTTCAACAAATTCTGAAAGATATAATCCTATCCTGCAAAAATCCATAACTTTTTGTTTTTTCACGATTTGGCATGAAAATGTATTGACTGTATTGATACCCCTAAATAAAAATATGCACGTAATTGAAAGAAATAGGGTCTGCGTTTTGCCTGCGTAAAATCCGACGCGCCACATTTTTCTTATTTTAATTCAAATAATACGTCCTTTGATAACATCGAGGATGTGAAATAAAACAGTTTAGTCCTAAAAGCAAAAGAATGATAGATTTTCAACAAAATCCAAAACATGATCCAATATTGCGAAAATCCATAATTTACTGTATATATATTTTTTAATGCATATTAGTCTTTTTTATACATCGGAATAATAATGTGAACAGCGAAAAGAGAGCAGGGAATTCGAATAGAAATATGAACGTAGCAAAAAGAGTGTGGAATGGGGTATATGGTTTGTCTTTCCCTGCTTATAACCCTAATGCGGCATATTCTTCCGTCATTGTGTGACAAACGATGTACATGTCGCAAATGCTCTTTCGCATTAAGATCGTTAAGCTTATCATTGCCATCACGGTTCATTTATCATCATCATCATCATCATGATTACCGTGTCTAAATTAATCGAACTGTTTGGCTCCAAGTTCAAGGACTGTTTTTCGATCGAATCAGTGTGTTAGTTAGTAGCAAGGGCTAAATGAGCACCTCGCTCCTATATTTATTAATTAAAATAAATAAACATGTTGAGTTTAATCTTAAACAAATCTTAATTCCAGCATGATTGATTTAAATTCAATGAAATAAGCAATAAATATAAAATAATCACTCAAGTCTCAAAGAATAAAACAAAATATATAAACAAAAATTTCGAACTTTGGCTATCGGCATTATTTTCGTTAAGCTCACAACAGACATTAAGTATTTTAAAGATGCTAAATGATCAACATACAAAAACAAACGTTGGGACTTCATTTAATTGGACAAGTTTGACTCGAAGTTCAAAGCCTGTTCCATTCCGACCAAGCTCGGTGGAAAAAATGGAATCTTTATCAATGGAAAAAATTTTAAAGTGTATTCGGATGTCATCATTTTATTTACTAAAAGTAATAATATGAATCCATTTTATCTAATTTTATACTGTTTAAAGGTAAAGTTACAAACGAAATGTGGTGCTCGCTATTTACTGATGATTTCCTTCTTAGTTTGTAAATAATTGGTCTTTCTCCTGTTAGACTTTACTCCTCCTTTTCAAATTGGTCAGCGAAACAAATCAGACAATTATATATTTCAAGGAATGTAAAAGAAAGTTTAATAAAAAAATTACTATCGACGATCGCACAATCCCTCAGACACTCTCACGGTCTCTTTCTCCTTCCCACTCTCTCTTTTTCTCTTTCCACTTTCTTTCTTCTTCCTAACACGCTATCATTTCATCTATTATTCCCCTCTCTCCCTCATTTAGTCTCTCTCGCTCTCAACTTACTCTATGCCGCACCCTTTCTCCCTTCTCTCAGTCACTCTAACCCTTCCTTTCTCTCTGTTTCTTCTAACTTTCTTTTCTCTCTCATAGTCTCTTTCCCTCTCTTTTCCACTCTCACGATATCTTTCCCTTTCCCACTCTCTCTTTCCACTTTCTTTCTTCTCCCTAAGACGCTCCCTTTCCATCTATCACACTCCTTCTCTATTAAGCTCACTCTCATCTTTCTCTTTCCCTCTTTTCTCATTCTTTTTTAAAGTCTTGCTCTTTCTCATTTTTTCTTTCACTTTCTCCTTAAGTCCTGAAAGTCTTCTCAATGAAACTTTCTCCCTCTCTCTTTCTCTCAATCTCTCTCTCCCTCTCTATCTCTATCTCTCTATCCAACCATTTATCTATCTATTTACCTTCTTATATCTATCTTACTTCTCTCCTTTTATCTCTCTCTCTCTCATTCTCTCTCTCTCTCTCTCTCTCTCTCTCTCTCTCTCTCTCTCTATCTATCTATCTATCTATCTATCTATCTATCTATCTTACTTCTCTCTTTTTATCTTTCTCCTCTCTCTCTCTCTCTCTCTCTATCTATCTATCTATCTATCTATCTATCTATCTATCTATCTATCTATCTATCTCTATCTATCTCTATCTCTATCTATCTATCTATCTATCTATCTATCTATCTATCTATCTACCTGTCTATCTATCTATCTACCTATCTATCTATCTATCTATCTATCTATCTATCTATCTTACTTCTCTCCTTTTATCTTTCTCTCTATCTCTCTCATCTCTCTCTCTCTCTCTCTCTCTCTCTCTCTCTCTCTCTCTCTCTCTCTATCTATCTATCTATCTATCTATCTATCTATCTATCTATCTATCTATCTATCTATCTCTATCTATCTATCTATCAATCTATCTATATATATATATATATATATATATATATATATATCACTCTCACTTTCTCTCACAAACCACTCACTTACTCTCACTATCTATTTATCTCTCTTTTTCAGATAAAAGGTAATGGTTTAAACAAGACCATATGTTCTGTGTTTGTTTTTATGATTAATAATTGTGTGGAATGCAGTTTCTTCACGCTCGTTCAATGAGGAAAACAGGTTGAATGGAAAAAACCCAAAAATAAACGTTGGCAATGGCTAGCCAACTACGTATGATGCGGATCGTCTAGTTTGTCTTGAAGTTCAAGGACTGTTGTTGCTTTTCGGTCGGAAACCGCTCAGTTTGGCCCGTTTACCCGTTTCTACCTCCGCCGAGAGTTGGAGATCGTTCAACTCGCATTTTTGAATCGTTTATAATTAAACACAACTGCGTTTTCGGTCCGTCGGATCGTCTGGCCGTGGCTACAGTTGGAGACAAACGGCAGTCCTAAATTGCATTGTTCGAGAGGTATTATTAGGACTGTACGACTAAAAATAGTCATGAAAAAGAACAAAGAAGAAGACATCAGAACTATTTAAAAAGAGAGCCAAAAAAATTCATTACCTCACTTGCCCGCTTGCAAAATTGTCAAAAATGATCATTTATTCAAGAATCGAGGATGGTCTTAATTCAGTAATACAGAATAACCGGTCAAAAGGAAAATAACAGGAGGCAATTATTAAATATCATGTCAAATTGGATAATTTTACTCCTTTGAAGTTGGTATCCCGGATGGCGTTTCAGCCTGGATCTATGATCATCGCGGAAAATTTTAACTTCAAAACGACATTGCTAATTTATTAAAAAAAATTGCATGTCGATTTGTTTTTTACAATTGGCTAAAGATTAAGTGCATTGGCCTTCATTAATCAACCATTTCTAACAAGTCTATATTGAGTACGTCATAAATTTCTCAATTTGTCTTTCATTAGTCACTGTTTGAAAGTATTGAAATAAGCTTATACCGTGTCGACCCGTTTAAATCACAAGGTTAATAATTCAATAAAGATAAGAAGTATATTTTCCATGGTTGCGTCAAATATTTTCCGGATTTGATACCCAAATGTTTCCTAAATCATCTAAGATTAAAGAACTACTGAAATAAATATAAACAATAAATACCTCCATTGAACTTCTTTCAGTATACAGAATTTTAACACATTTCATTTTCATTATTAAAAATATGTAAGGACTTTTTGAAATACATCTTTCAACAGGCACTAACAGATCAAGGCTTTCGTCAAGCCAACTAAATATGAGAAAAATTTAAGTATGTAAAACAATTTTATAAAGAGATTCTCATTATACTAGGTTTTAAGAAGGCTGAGACTGAGTATACATCATCTATGTTGGATCACGTCTTTCCTTAAGGTCTACTCCTCCCCTCATAAGGATGCTCTCTCAGTTACGGTTTCGGCCGACTCGGTGGTACTTCAGGGATCCCACACATGCCCCATACTGTTTTTATTATCCATTCATGCTATCTCTGTCAGGTCTCTATGCTGTTTGATTTAATTATTTCTAATTCAGGTGATTGTACAATAGGTTTGCAAAATAGTGTCTTCGCTAATCATTTTAAGGTAAACTCAGGCATATATTGTGTTATAATTCGCTATTTTCCTAAAACTCTTGGCCAAATTACATACACTTACTCTATTAATGAGACAATAGTACTAGTGTCCAGGTCAGCGATTTGGGAGTGATCTTCAACATGTGCATTACATAAATATCACTATTAGAACTCTTAAAAGGTTAATATAAAAAAATATCTTTGTTATAAAAATTTTATACCAATCCCTCGAAAATCATAAAAATGGTGTACTGTTACGTTCCAGACAACACACTTTTCCCGATATTCTTTAGGGCGGGGTCGAACTCACACCATTCTCTCTAATAACATACTTTTACGCTCCAGATAAAACACACTCACCCCAGAGTTCTCGATATTCCTCAGGGTGGCGGGATCGAACTCACACCATTCTCACTAATAATTGACTTTTACGCTCCGGACGAAACACACTCTCCCGAGACTACACGATAATCCTAAGGGCGGGGTCGAACTCACTCCATTCTCTCTAATAACTTATTTTTACTCTCCAGACGTCGCACACTTACCCCAGAGCTCTCGATATTCCTCAGGGAGGGTCGAGATCATACCATTCTCGCTAATAATTTACTTTTACTCTCCAGACGTCGCACACTCACCCCAGAGTTCTCGATTTTCCTCAGGGCGGCGGGGTCGAACTCACACCATTCTCGCTAATAACTTTTTATAATTTATTTTTAATTAGAAAATGTTCAATAATTATTTCATGAACAGAGTCGACCTCAAATATTATGAGTTATACCAAATATTTAGGGAAAATATTATTACTAACTAAATCCAACTAGTGCTTCCGGGATATCGACAATGCATACTTTTAGAAAAATAGATCTTCATTTCTTCTTTCCCTCAAGCTTTAAATATTTAATTAAAATTCGAAAAATAGTTAGCGATTTTGAAAGGTAGACGATTATTAAAGCTAAATGTGTCACATAAAGGTGACCCGATGGTTTTTATGAGCCACCGTCAAGGAACTGAAAGGAAATCAGGTTCACCACGCTCCACCACTTGTTGTCATGTCGGTTTGTTCATTCATTCCTATCGGCAAAACAAATCTCCGTGCCGGTTTCTTTATTCAGTTTAGACGGGTAAACATTTAATCTGCAGTTATTTAGTTATATTTGCCAACGCTGACCAGCCTTGGAAAGTGAGGAGCCAGATAGGGACCGTTTTGGTGCGTTGCGTTTCGCCCTTCTTACTTTTATTTTATAATTTATATTCTCATTCAAAACTTGAGCGAATCTTTAAAAGGCAAATTTTGACCGGGTGAGTTTGGTTGACCGGACAACCTTACACAATTTCCCTTAATAACAAAAGTTAATTAATTTATTTTCAAGCTGTAAGAAATATTAATTTACACTTAAAACGAGGCTATTTCAGAAAAGAAATTCTTGAAATATGACACTCTGGCATACAAGATGCTTTCTCTCCTGGAATCTCTGAACCTGAATAAAAAGATTGAACATGACTAAATTTTCATTGGGTGTACCAAACAAATTTTAAAATTTGGAGCTCTAATTTTCCAATACAGCGCACAAGTTACGAACGGTACTTTATTGCTTACAAAACTACTTGCTACAACAAGGAAATTCACTTCCAATTTCATAATTAAATATGAATGCTATAACTGTAGTAACTTGTAATTTGTACAATTTTGTTTTATAATAAAAACGTTCATAAGTCCAACGTGCTAATCAAAAAGTCGAAAGTACAACCTTCCAAAGGTTAGATTATTCCTCTGTCCCATTACAATGCTAGGTGATTTACTTTTCAATAGCCATGACGAAAAAATTACTTCTTGTGGCTCGACAAAATGTCAGTAGACGTAGAAAAATCTGCAGAACAGATCAATTCGGTCTTTGCAAGTGTTTTTATTTCAAAGAACGGTTCGGAAGGTCACTGTACTGGCTCGAGTCGCTACTGATGGAGATAAGACCACTGATAAGAAACCCTAGGAGAAAAGGGGCATCACGTCCGGCAAAAACAGATAAGTTTGCATTGCTTGTCTGTAAAGTAGTAGCAACTTCCACACAGTATAACTAGTGATACCGTTTGTAGGTGTGTAAAAAGTGTGGTAAATGCAGTCAATACTCGATTATTTCACACAATTGTTGCATGGCCAGAAAAGGTCACCACAAATATAATTTTTTTTTCAATATGGCCCATTCTCCGTGTAAATAGATGTATTGATACGCCAGTTGAAAATGAACGGCACCTATTCAATAAATTGTATGTTTGTTGGGTTCCTTCTCTAACCGAACAGCTGACTTCACTTAAAAATGACATAACAGTTAATGATCCCTGTGTGGATTTACCGATACTTCTGAATATAAAACAAAGTTTTTGTTTGGAATAAAAATTAATACAATTAAACCTCATTTTCTGTTTAACAAATCTTTTAAAACAAGTTATTCTTCCTGAAAAGATTTTCTTCTCAACAAAACACTGGTCATTCACAAAATGAAAAACAAAAGTAACGTTACATGTAATAAAGAATTTTAAAAAATCATGAAAATGGTCCGACTCCAGCCAGCATAGCTCAGTTACTTGTATTAACTTAACTTAATTAAGGTGTTGTTTCTAGCCTCCCTTGCTGAAGTGTGCTGCCTCGTGGCCTGAAATTCCCTCACGGTATGGTGTTAGGCGTACTAGTAGGTAACAGTTTTTGAAGGGTATTCAGACAGGTTCAGACAAGTTTTGACAAGTTAAGAGTAATTAGGCATGAAATATGGTTGTTCTAGAGTCATGGCAAAGAGGTGCTTGTAGTTAGGCCCATATATTTCCATATATCTCTTGAACAGACTCCTATACATCAAGAGGTTATCCTCCATCACAAAAAACTAATGATACTACATTGGCTAAAGTATAATTCTGAATTGTATCAGAGATATTTCATATTTCGGGTTATTTCGACCTTTTACAACTTTTCCCCTTAATTCATAAAATACTAATCCTACCGTTAATGGTGATTACATGAATGGATATTACAAAGCCTATGAGATTCTTTAACTTATTGTAACTTTTAACTACTAACTTACTAACAACTTACTATACGTATAGTCTTTTGGGTTTGATGTTCCCATCTTTACTCATGGGTGTTGAGACCCATGAGGATGTTTAACGTCCGGACTTATCCCCGAGGGGACTTCTCAGACACCCTGTGTTCTCAAAGGGAACACCAGGAAGATTTTACATGCATTGACTTGTCACATCCCTTGGCTAGCGAGGTGATGCAGTTCAGAAGTGCCCTGAAAAAGGCACATCCCTACATGTGCCTTGAAAAAGGCAGTTTTGTGGTTTTTGGGCACAGCCTTTCAGCCGTGCCTTTCACCAAACACCGGAGAGATACAGAAGGCACTCTATTTCCGGCTCCGGTTGGCCTGACTGAGCATCGAGATCAATGAACGAGATCATTTAAATCAAAAGACGTGTGCTGTTTCAGAGAGTGCATCCTCATACTCATACTTGCCATGCCGTCCTTATCATTAATTTTGCCTTGTTAACAGTACAAGTATAGTTAAAGAGGGAAGAAAAAAATTAGGTCACTACATGAAGTATTTTTATTTTCTTTAACTTATTAACTTTAACTAAACTAATCAATTACAGTACAAAGAAACGGAGTCTCATCGCTGTTTCATTCTTTTGGCAAACGGCAGTTGAGCTCATAGTTTTGGCATTTTTTCTCCCATACGGGCCATCTATCGAACTCATAAGTATTGTAGATGTGGACTGCGCAGTTCACCGTCGCTTCAAGGCCTTCTACATCCGTCATGTCTGTCGGAAAAAACAACCATCTGTTAACATTAATTCTTTCAACGTATTTTCTCGACTTGTTATCTACCCGAGCATTCCATTGGGCAGAAACTTTGTGTACCGCACATTTCGTCCGATATCTACATGGATTAATTTAAAAAAAAATTAAAATTTTGTATAACGTATTAAGACTATTAATTTTACCTGGAAAGCACCGTAGTATGAATAGCCGAAAGGGAAGTAACTGACATATAAATGTGTCCTAAAGTTACTTGCATGTTCTGCTATGCAAACCCCTTAAACACAATATCAAAGCAAGGACATAATGAAACGACGTCATTAAACATTAAATAATGTAGACTTGTAGGTTTAAAAAATTTCCACGTAGAATATGTATGAGGAATTTGTAGGTTACCACACTTATCCTCGCATGATCGATATTTCGCCAAATTCAGTTTTGGGTCTGGGTAATTCGTTTAGAGTAAGCTTGTTAGATAATTCATTTGGATATGTATTCAATGTACAGACACATTAACAATGGGAAAATACCGAAACCCAGCGAGGATAGGTGATGATGATTATAACTGCCAAATTTCAGATTCATACAACTATCTCACTAATCTCACAATACATATTTTGGGAATGTTATGTTTTGTAATTGTATTGTTACGGATACGTCAAATAAATCGAGGAAATTTAGAAAAACTTACAATCAGATAAGTTTCCTGGCATATCGAACTTATTCAACTACTCCGCAAATGTACATTGTGAGTATTGTGTCGATTCCACTGTGGCCGCGAAAACGGAAAGAATAACAGTAACGCTTTTGAAAGAAACCCTGGAACAAATCAGATTAAAATTTGATCTTCTCTGACTAAAAATATCTACCTCACAGCTATACTTACAAGTCGTATGGATGAACCCACTTTAATCAAAATCGTGATAACCGGCTTCTTTTATACACAGTCTGTCTATAAAAAATAATGTGTTAACTGCATTCGAAGGGCGCAGTTGTGTTTTCATGTTTACTCTGGAGCAGATGTCGCCGAAACGAATTTGAATAGATTTTTTGTAATCCCAGCCTTAACTAGGTGTTATATTGTATTTAGGCGCTGTCAAATTCTTAATTAATAATCGAATTTTAATAGTAATTAAAAAACGCACTTTTTGTTTGTTTAAAAATCACAAATTTGGCTATTTTCTTCCAAAATTCCAGTTACATTACAGCTCAAAGATTTCAGGTGTTAAACTTGATATATATCTCGGTAGAAGACTAATTTTTTAGGAAGAAAAACCTTTCCGGAATGAATAAACTTGTTTTAAAAGATTTGTCTGGGAAAGAAGAAATAGACAAATGGGAGTTAATTTTATCAATTTTTATTGTAATCGTAACTTTGTTTTATATTCAGAACTTTCGATAAATCCAGACTATGTTAAATATTATACTAGCTATACAAAATTATAGTATTTTGTCAGATTTTTTAAAATACTTTATTTAGATTTTATACGATATACAGATGTATAAAAAAAGTCCAATACATGGATAACAAGCAATCCGTGTGTTGGAGACAACTAAAATGGGTTATAAAAGTGAAAACTTAATACTGCCTACTAGTATCCATTTTATATAGATACATACAATTATTCATTTTCATGTTTTTATTTTATTTATTTTTTTGGTTTCCTTGAAAAGCTCTCACCAATTGAACTGCTGAAACAGTTGATCCTTATATTGCCAGGCATCGCGATCGTAGTATGCAATGGCTCATTTCGTTCAAGGTTTGGACAAATACAACGCAGGAAAGGAGCACACTTAGTTAACATTAGATTTCCAGGGTATAAAATTAAGGCATATTACGACTTCTCGTGTAGAAATGTGTGGTGATTAGTGACCGTTAATCGACAATTATTCAGAAATCGTAGATCCGGCCTGGTATGATGTAGGTTTCAGAAAAACATTTTCTTTATCGTGCCAATGTTTCGATCTTTATTGAGATCATCTTCAGGGCTCAAAGTGTTTGTCTTCTGTGTAATTGTACCATTCTTGCGTGTCGTGTTGGGCACTCTCCAGGGTGGTGGGGTTTGACGAGCTCTGATTGGTTTAAAAAAGTGTCCCAGCTTACCCAATTTCTCTCTTCTACGGAAGAAATGTACATAATTTCTCAAAGTCCCGTTATCATCAGTGTAACAGATTTAATTTCTACATATTTGATTTGCCTTTACAAATGGAAGTCTGTTTCCGGGACACCGTGTATATGGGCATATGTGGCAGCTTGTGAATACATTGCGGCAGTTGGATCTGTTTTAAGAGATGCTAAAGCATGCATTTCTTTAGAACTTTCGTAATGTTTCCGTTGTCTTTCTTTGTTCTATTTTGGGCCACCACATATAGGTTGCATATGTGATCATGAGACTGACAAACGTAAATTAAGGACTTCGGATTTAGTTCCGACGTCGGGATGTCTATTGCGCGTTTAGTTTCGTGAGTTCTCTTGAGTTGCATTCATCGTTTAAAGTTGATCTCGAACTATTCCTTGGTATGCTTCTTTGGAATGCTTTATGCCTTAATTTTGTCTTAAGTTGACGCTTTAAGATTTATCTTATTTTTCCTTGTGGGTGACACAACTGTTGATCAGATTTTAACCACAAAAATAAATTATTTGATTATTACTTAGTAAACAAGAAAATTTAAAAATAATAACAAAGCCGTCAAAAGAAAATTTAGTTTTAATTAATTAATCTTTTTATGTAAGAATGTGTGGTGTTGTGACCCTTAGTTAATGATTATTGCGAAATCGTGAAATGCGGTCTGGTGTGACGTAGGTTTTGGAAAAACGTGTTCTTTATCGTGCCACCGTTTCGATCCTTATTGAGATCATCATTAACGTTTATAAATCCCATGCCCTCAAGATGATCCCAATAAAGTCGAAACGTTGGTTCGATAAAGAAAATGTTTTCCTAAAACCTACAACCGCATCTCACGATCTCTGAATAATCATTAATCATTTTTATGTAAGGTTTTGGTCGTGGGTTCGAATCTCGCTCGTGACACAAACTTTTTCATTTCAACCAAAACCTTACTACATAAAAAGATTAATTAATTGAAAGAAATGATTTGCTCAATAGACCATTCAATATAATGGATTTAATTTAAGTTAATCGACTCTATAGTTTAAATATAACCATAATATAACGGCCCATTGCTATTAAAATTGATATAACGTAATTTTTTTACTATCAGAAATTAGCTCCTCCAATCCTAAATCATTTTGTTTTTTCGATTATAATACGTGACCTCTGACTTGATAATTTTTTGTTTTATTAATAATTGTATTAACTAATCCTAGGCAATTATTATCTGTACATATAAAGATAATTGGATAGTAAAAAACGGTCACTACTATGCAACCTTTATTGTGAACTATTATTAATCTAGTAAGTAATTAATTATTTACTATGATCTTTTTTTCTATGTCAGCGATGGCAGCAAGTGATATTTTAATCGTATTAAAAATGACTCAATTAATTTCCTGCTACAGCGCAATTTTTAACATTACTGCCAAGATTTCATTTTCACAAGGGCGTATCGCTTTGTTTGGATAGCTCAGCAATATTCTTTCTACGATTTTAATAATTTACGGATTTGCAAATTTAGGAATTTGCGTAATACTACGATTTTACAAACGTCCTTGTGAATGAAAACAGTACAAAATCGTGAATTCGATCATTTTTTGTCTTTCTTGTTTATATGAATTTTTCTTAATAGAATAATCTCTTGTTGATTGTTTACTTCTTTGTTTACATTAACCAGTAAGAATATAGATCGTAATGATAAAAAATTGCTAGCATGAAGCCATTTTTGTATTTGGAAAGTAGAAAAATATTGACGTTTGTTTTATGTCAGGCTTCGCTGTGGTAGGAAAGAAACAGGATGGATGATGCCGAATTTCAGCTGATTTCAAGTTAAAAATGGCATCGTACTATTAGTGACAATTCGCCCTCTGAATACCAAAAACTCTCATAATTTATCACAACCTGAAGAGAACTCAGAACGATATAAGTTTTTATTTTATTGAGTTGGAATTATGAAGTTCTTCTGGGCTTTGATATTGTTCCAGATGCAATGGATGTTGCCACTGAGCTATTTCTTCAAAAACATGATTGATAACGAAATATTTTCAAGGCGAACTAGTCTATTTTTTCAACAGGAGCATATAGGATTATAGGGCGCATATAATTTGACATTGGAATAATTCTACAAAACGGAATAGGCAGCATCTCGCCTCGCCATGCTTATAACCCCATTGTAACGCATTTTCCAAATTTATTACGTACTGTGAAGGTGGAATATTTTAGTCAAAATCGAAATAAATCGAAGGACAATTATGTACATGAATTTTTTGACGCATAATTCGCCGACGCGGAAAGAGACAATGACCTTCCACACCTTGCTTATATATCCTTATTGTCACATTTTTCGCCTGAATCATAAATATTTTGAAAGATGTTTATTTTGCCTTAAATTGTGTCGAACACAAGAGCACGCTCATCTTTTTTGTTTGACGCACAATTTGCCGAAACGAAAAGAGGACAGCGGGTTGCCTCAGCCCACTTATAACCCTATTGTCACGCATGTGAGCCAGAATACAAGGTATGAAAGATGGTTTCTAACACCGTATCCGAACCAAGTTCAATACGTATATCTTTTGTAAATTACACACAATTTGCCAAAACGGAAAGAGACTACATGTTGCTTCTCCGTGTTTACTCTTAATTGTATATTTTAGCCAGAATCATAGCGAGTTTTGAAAGATAGTTATTTTGAACAAAGTCCCAAAAACCCAAGGACCATATCTTTCATATTTTATATTTGTCCCATAATTCAGCAAAGCGGAAAGAGTCAGCGGCACTCCTCTCCCTGTTTATATCCTTATTGTCATACATTTTCTCTAGATTCATTAGGAGCTTTTATTTATTATTGGATGGATTATTTTATTTTGTGTATGACTCATAATTCGTTGAAATTTTTGGCGAGGCAACGCACATCTTTAGTGTTTGATACACACATAATTCGCTCATCCTGAAAGAGACAGCGGTTTTTATTATCACACATTTTAAACAGAATCATTAGGGATTTTAAAAGATGGTTACTTCGGCTAAAATTGCATCGAACAAAAGGACAATAATGCACATATTTTCTATTTGACACATAATTGACAAAACAGAGAAAAAACGAGCAGAAAACGAAACCAAAAAAAAAAAAGGAGGCAGAGGCTTTTACTCTTATCCTCACATCTTTTATTCAGAATCAGTACTACTACTATTATTTTAAAAGGTGGTTTTTTGGACAAAATCGGATCAAATCCAAGAACAATTATGTACATCTTTTGATTCTGGCACATAATTCGACGAAACATAAAGATACATCGCCTGGCCTCACCATGCGGGTATAGTTGGCGCACCGTATAATGTTGTTTATGGTCAAATTGAACTTTAGGCTTGTTTCCTAATGCCCTGCCAGACTGTGAAGTTTATTTTAACTTATATCTTTGGTTTTTTATATTTTTTCACACTTATGAAAATATAAAAGAAAATAATTGATATGTTTTAGATTAATTTTTGTACAAGTGTTTTAAATCTTTATAAAAAGATAGTTCCTACTCGTAGTTGTTTTCATCGATCTGGATTTCAAGCTTATAGCTAGCTCATCATCAGGTTGAAGGAATTTACAATCAAGTCTCTCGACATGAATTTGTATGTTTTTTATTTATTAATTAGTACAAATAAAAATAAAAATAATACATTAATAATATATTTGTAAATTAATTACAAAATTAAATAATAATAAATTTAATTAACTCATATGTGATGTTTGTTGATGGACTTGCCGGTAATCTATGTGGAGTTTCAATCTTCGTGGAGGTCAGTAGATAGGTGAAGAAAGGAAAAGACTAATTGTTGGGTTCACCAAGCTTTCGGCAACTTATAGTGCCATCATCACCACAATCATATGGATTTTATTAGTGAGATGACTGTTTTCAC